CAGTAACATTTGCAGACAGAAGAAAATTAGCGCTTGGGCAAATAAGAAGAGGCACAATATTGATGGTGCCCTAAGCAGTGCACCCAGAAGCCACTACTGATGTATGGGAGTAAGATTTGGTCAGGTGGGTCCACTCCCCGGAGACTGGCTACCATCAAGATTTCCCACCCTAGAAAAACAGGAGCTGGGTCCCTCAAAGAGGAAGAAGTATTGGGAAGGGAAAGAGAGAGAAAGGAGAGAGAGGGAAATAAGCTGGACATGGTGGGGCCTTGAAATGTAGTATTTAAAAGAAGGAGGTGGGACACCCAGTTCAGGCTCCAGTGGAGGCTGGAATTGGGGTAAGAGTCAGGGTCCTAATAACCCTCCTCTGTGCCTGAGTACTGGGCACCCTCCAGTGGGTCCTCTGTTCTTCCTCAGCCTAAGGAGGCATCAGAAGAGGCAGGAAGTCTCAGAAGGTGACTTTAGCTGGAAAGAGGCAGGACAGGAGAAAGGGGAGCAGGCGGCTACAGGGGGACAGACTAGTTTGGGAAAGAATGTCTGGCTTTAGCTTGGCATTGGCATTCATGAGATGGACCACATGCTGAGCACTCAAAGGACTGCAAACACCAGCACTAGGGATTTCTAATCCCCAGATTTGGGGGAAAAGGAGCTGCTGTCTCTCAAGCCAGTCCTCAGGAGAAAAGAGGGAAGCCTAGCTGCTTTGCCAGTTAAGGCTGGGGTGCCTGGAGTCCGGAGATGCTCCCAGCCTCCCAGCTCTATCCTCCTTTGGGGTGAGAGGGTGTTAAGCTGCCTATCAAGTGACTATCCTTGCAGCTCATGTCCCTTGAATGACTACTGGAAACTCCTCCATCACAACCACCACGATGACCAGGCCCTCACATTGCCCGTGCTCACTGACCTTGCTGAGGCCACCCTGCTGGGGTACGCTCCCTCCCGCTGCTGCCAGGACCCCTCCTCCAGCTGCAAGAAGAAGCGGACGCGGGCAGAGGCGCCTGGACACACTTTATTCCTATATTCCGCCTAGGAATAGGAGCGCAGGACTCACGGATCATCGTCCCCGCCTGGGCGTACTCAGAGGACCAAGGAGGGTCCAGGAGGCGCTGCACAGCCCTCCTCCCAACCTTTGGGGCCAAGTCAGACGAAGCCACGGAAAGGGTTGGTCTGTTTCACTGACCAAATCTTGTTAGCCGTTTCCGCCTTGCTAGCCGAGCGCCGGCCTTCTGCTCTCCGGGTGGCCACCTCCAAACGATGCTGGGGAGCGACTGCGCCAGCCCTGCGGAGGGCTGCCTAGACCTTGAAGTTAGGAAAAACAAGAGATTGAACCAGCTCCCTCCCTACTTTCCCTTCTCCACAGACACACACGCACCCGTCAGGCCGCCGCCACTTCCTGCCTTTGTTTTTCTTCCTCCAAACATTTTTGGCCTCTTGTATTAGCCGCCGTGGGGCTCCGGGTTGAAGATAAAAGGAAATACAAGCTGAAGACAGTATTCTGGAGATGGCCCCGCGCTCTGGAGCTCCTGAGAAAGAACCGCGCCTGGGAAGCCAGTCGCCAGGGCCAATGTCACAGCCTTGCCCGCTGCGGCCTCTTCAAGAAATGGAACTCGTACTTGGCCTTCCGGGGCGGCCTTAACCTCGGTAGGGTCTTTCCCAGCGCATGGAGGGTTCAGCTTGGCTGTTGGGACCTCCTGCAAAGCGGAAGAGTTAATTATAGGCTCAAAGCAAAGTCAAAACCAAGAACTCGAAGCTCTGCCTCACCTTCTTCCCCAAGATCTGGCCTGGTCCTCAGCTGCACCTACCCTTTGCCCCTGCCGCCTGGTGAAACATTTGCACAACCAGTGTGCTGCGAGCAAGGGGGACAGGCACCGGCCAAGCTGAGAACGTCGCGCAGCCTTGGGGACCCGAGCACCCCTCTGCTGTCCCTGCTGAGGAACTAAAAGCATTCGGCAGCTCCCGGCTTTTTCCCTTCTGTTGATTATCATAAGCCCTTTCCCTCGTCTATCTTCACGGCAGCGCCCCCACATGCCCCCTTCCAGGCGTTTCTCCAGGCACCCCGCTTGGCTGCAGCCTGCGGAGTCGCCCTACCAGCCGCTCCTGGATTGCCTTTGCCCACTACAGCCTTTCCTCGGGAATTTGCCTTTGTCTCCTGCGGACACCCATGGGATCCAAACCTGCTGGCACCCTCTCGATTTGATCCTGGAGAAGAATTTGGGAGGCAATGGTTATAAAGAACAGGGCCCACACCCGCACACCCATACCGACCTTTCAGCGGAGACACGCTCTCCCTGGCACCAGGGGAAAACCGATCTAATTAAGAGAGGGGCTGCAGCCGGGGGAGGCAGCCTGGCGTCCCCCGCTGGCGGGCCACCACGGCCCAGTCTGCTCAGGCACAAGCTGAAGTTGACTGCCAAAACTGCAATAAAACCGCAGGTCTGTCTAGAACTGTTTTCGGTTTTCCTAGACGCCCCCGGGTTCAATTATGGTCTTAAAAGCCCTAATACAAGTGCAAGAATTTGTTTGCCTTCACCCAGGGGCGGGGCAAGCCCTGCAATGGTGGCGCCTTTGTTATGGCAAAGTCACTGAAACCCCTCATGCATTTCTTTTGTTCAAGGGTAGGGGTGGCAAGGACTGGGTGGGCTGTTGGGAGAGTTTGGGATAGACAAAATCAAGCCAAGGAATAGATGTTTGAAACCTCTCCTCCCTTTTATATTCTATCTCCAAGAAAGATGCTGTGGAGAGACAAATAATTTGCCTTGTTGGACACTGCTGGAAATAGAAGTTTTTTTCACTGCAGGACAATCCTATTATGTGCTCCCCAGCTTTAGGTCTCATGCTACCCTTCCCCAACAACCTTCCTTCCCACTGGACCTTCTCACTTGCACCACTGCTGCCCTCTGCATGAGCCACAGTGGACAAATATGTCAAGCTGAAGATGCACAAATAATTTCAAGTTCAGCTCTCAGGGATTCAAGGGGCATGAAAGTTCTTGCAGCAAATCTTGAATAAAGAGTTCATTAAACCAATGTGTCCAAGTAGGTTGATTTGTGATAAGCAATCCTTGTAAAGGGGGGGGGGGTGGTAGGGAGCCACATAAACATTAATGCTAATAAACTAGTTGACTCCACTACAGAGTAATTACTTGATATTATTGATATTTACAGCAGGTATTCAAATGCAATGGTAGGCCATTATTTGGAGAAAATACATAATGAGAATATTTCTTTTCCAGCGCAATACATGATTAGATTTGTTATTGAGTCAGTTACAGTCAGCTCAGCAATAAATAAATAAATCGATGTTGACACTTAAATACCAAAGATTTTAGAGTTTATATTCTAAACCTCCCCAAGATATTTAAATACCTTCTGCTATTCCCTGGAAGGGGAAAGGAAAAGGTTATCTTTTTTTCATTTTTCAACTTTCCTTCAGCAATACCTCAGCTCCTTGCAAGAAGACAGTCATAGGGAAGCTGCAGTTCTGGATCCCCTCTCAGCAATCTGGCCCTCCCTGGCGGCTCGCTGTTCTCTCCCTTCTTTCACTTCCTCCCAGACATTGCTCCTTTAATCCTACAGGATGAGGTGCATATTTTGCCTTAATTTCTTTCTTTCCTCTTCCCAAGAGTGCTAGAATCATACTAGGCTCTATGGCCTCTGTCTCTATCTTTAGCACAAATGTAGTCTTTTCAAGGCATTCTTGGGTCCCAAGATGCAGGTAGTTTGGGAAGCACTGTTCTTATCCTTGCATTGTATTCCTCCTGTGGAATGAGTAGTAGGAAAGACGTGGAGCTTTCTGAGTTTCTGCCCTGCACATCTCTCGCTTTCACTCTCTCCTATTGCAAGGAAGGAGGGGAGGTGGGACACCCCTTTCTCAGCCACCACTCTTTGGCCCTCACCCCTCCTTGCCACCCCCATTCTCCCTACAGCCCTGGAATTCTACAAGCACCCTGGTGCCCCCTCACACACAAAGATACAGCATACCCAGAAGACTCCTCGGATGTCAGCGCCTCTAAAGCAGCCCAAGGCTTGCCTCAATTGCATGGTTTCCTGAGTCATCAGCTCCAAAAGACCAGGCTGGCCGGCCGACCGGTGAGCAGCGGCGCAGCCCTGGTGCCTCTGCCTCTGTCAAGTCACTCCGAACCCTGGCTTGCAGCAAGGAGGAAGGGTTTTCTCCAAGGGCGTATGGGGTGGGGTGAGGAGACAGGCAAGGAAGATGAAGGGAGAGGTGGATCCCGGGTGAGACGAAGGCCCTTCTCAGCCCTGCGGATCATTGACAAACCGCAGGGAGAAGCCGCCCTGGCTGTTAGCGGTTTAGGGACGGAAGGCACTAAAGCGCTTCGGAAGTGACCATGAATGCGAGCGTGTAATCAAGTCACCGTGCAAATCGGACAAGCCATGAGACCAGCACATCCATGGCTGCGAACCTTGGCCCCTAAGGGGGTCCGGCCGCGGTCGGAGGTGGAGGTGCTACTCAGAGCAAGCCTGAGTGAGGGGGGGCTGCTAAGTAGGGGGTACAAACGCGAGCTCCCGGTGGAGCCGACTGTCAGACCACAGGCCACACAGTTTGGGGCTCCTACCTGGCCATCCCCAGCCCAGGGCAAACCTCACCCGCCCGGGGAGTGGAAGGGGGGAGCGGGGACAGGAGTTAAGCTCTCACATCTCTCAGGGCTAGGACCGTGCGAATGAGCACAAGCTTGCTGCATGGGGGCGCACCCCAGCTCGCACGGCGCGCAGGGAGGCCCCCCAGCCAACATGAGTTACACCGGCGATTACGTGCTTTCGGTGAGAACACCGAGTGACGATCTGTTGCTTCCCCTGAGGTGGCTACAAAGAAAGGAAGCCGGGGAGGGAGGGGAGGGAAAAAAAGGAAAGGGGGAAAAAAAGGCCCGGACTAGCTCGCAGCTTGTCAATTTCAACATCGGGTCACATGACCAGCACCTCCCTGCTAAGGATGGGGATAGATTTCCACGTCAGCTTACGTCTCCAAATTTCTACTTCACGGATCCGCTTCAAAGAGGCAGCTGCAGTGGAGAATCATGTTAAGCTCGGCTACTGCGGAGAGCCCAAGGTAGCCCAATGATGGATTTTGATGAGCGTGGTCCCTGCTCCTCTAACATGTATTTGCCAAGTTGTACTTACTACGTCTCGGGTCCAGACTTCTCCAGCCTCCCTTCTTTTCTGCCCCAGACCCCGTCTTCGCGCCCAATGACATATTCGTACTCTTCCAACCTGCCCCAGGTCCAACCCGTGCGCGAAGTGACCTTCAGAGAGTACGCCATTGAGCCCGCCACTAAATGGCACCCCCGCGGCAATCTGGCCCACTGCTACTCCGCGGATGAGCTGGTGCACAGAGACTGCCTGCAGGCGCCCAGCGCGGCCGGCGTGCCTGGCGACGTGCTGGCCAAGAGCTCGGCCAACGTCTACCACCACCCCACCCCCGCCGTCTCGTCCAATTTCTATAGCACCGTGGGCAGGAACGGCGTCCTGCCACAGGCTTTCGACCAGTTTTTCGAGACGGCTTACGGCACCCCGGAAAACCTCGCCTCCTCCGACTACCCCGGGGACAAGAGTGCCGAGAAGGGGCCCCCGGCGGCCACGGCGACCTCCGCGGCGGCAGCGGCGGCGGCGGCGGCCACCGGCGCGCCGACAACTTCAAGTTCGGACAGCGGCGGCGGCGGCTGCCGGGAGGCGGCGGCGGCGGAGGAGAAAGAGCGGCGGCGGCGCCCGGAGAGCAGCAGCAGCCCCGAGTCGTCTTCCGGCCACACTGAAGACAAGGCCGGCGGCTCCAGTACGTATAAAGGCAGCGCTCTGCGCTTTATGAAAGGGGAGTTGGAAATCTAGCGCGGCACCGCTGTTAAATTTTTATATGCTGTTTTATAAGCATATAAGGTTTATGAAGGGCCTTTAGGTTTCCCCCAACAAAACTTTGTTATAAAAGGCGGGATCACGTGGCGAGTGCTGAAATTGGCCGTGAAATACCCACCGGCCAAGGCATGCCTGCAAAAAAAACAACTCCCCTTTTCCCTTTTTTCCCTTCTCAGCTCCCAAACCCGGCAGCTCGACCCCGCTCGGGGCCAGCTCCAGGCTAGGGAGCTGGAGGTGGGCGCCTGTAAATTCCCCCTGCAAGGGCTCCGGGAGCCTTTGATAGCGAGGTAATCCGGAGATTTTTATAAAAGCCATGTGTTGCGCCGGGACTTCAGTCCCGGCCGGGATTCAAAGGCGTCGCTGTTTAACGATGGCGGTAGGAGAGCGTTTAACAGATAAAGTAGCCCGCTTAGCTCTAGCAATATATTAAAAGAAACAAATTAACCCAAAGTTGGCCTTTTTGTCCAAAGGAAGCCATTTTCCTCTGGCGCGGTGGCAATTACGTGCTGCCTTCTGTCCCACTGCATGTTTTCACAATTGTTATTCAATCTGTCATTAGCGAGGTGGGGATTTTTCCCCTCATTTTGTGGGTATTTTTCTTTTTTCTTTTTAAAGGGGAGCAAGCACAGCCTGCCAGCAGCTTTGGGAAGCCCCTCTTCCCTATACCCTGCCTAAAGTAGCACCCCCTGCTCTGCCAAGGGAACAGGGTGGTTGTGTAGCCCTGGTGCCCTGCAAAGGCCTGAGGTAGGGACCTTCGGCTGCCACCTCCCCACCTCATGGGGTCGGCCTGGAAGGCAGGAGCTGGTGGCCAGAACTCTGGCTGACAAAGACCCAGCAGCCGCCCCACATGTTATACAAGGCCAGTCATGGCTGCAACCGGGAAAGACCGGGGCTGGAGCCGCCTTTACTGCCTAGGATCCGATCAGGCAGTCCAGGTGCTGGAAGGTGAAATGTCCCTAAGAGGCTGTTTGTTTAGTCTGGCGGGGGGGAAAAAGGCAGCCGGTAACCGTGACTCGGCTGCTTTCAAAGAGGTTTATGCAGCGCAAACTTGCCTGTTGCTGTGAGAAGCCCTCCTTTCTGTTCTGGGGGCAGCAAAGCAGCTTCCCTGGGGGGCCTATTTAGTGAGCTGGCTTTTATCTGGGGCTGAGCCTCCCACTGCTGTGGTCACCAGGCCACAGTGGGAGACTGAAGGTAGGGACCCGGGGAGACTTTGAGAGTGCTTGGGCTGGACCTCCCTGTGGCCAGCCTTTCTCAACCAGGGGCTCTGGTGGATTGCCGCCCCCATGCCTGGCTCACCCCCTGCTTTCTACCTCCACAGGTGGCCAACGCACCCGCAAAAAGCGCTGCCCCTATACCAAGTACCAGATCCGAGAGCTGGAGCGGGAGTTCTTCTTCAGTGTCTATATCAACAAAGAGAAGCGACTACAACTGTCCCGCATGCTCAACCTCACAGATCGTCAAGTTAAAATCTGGTTTCAGAACAGAAGGATGAAGGAAAAAAAAATTAACAGAGACCGTTTACAGTACTATTCAGCTAATCCACTCCTCTAAGGCTCCAGCTGATTGGATTTGGGTGGGGGGCTTCATACACATGAGATGATATGCAGATTTTGCCCTTGACAAGGTCAAGCCACATGGTGACTTTTGAAAAAAGGTATGCAAGGGAGAGGAGGCTATGTGGAGATAGCCCCACAGGAGTCTGCCTGGAACTCTCTTGTTTAAGATCTCAGTGGTTGTTTCCTAATAACAATTGGATTCTAAGAGTTGCATCAACTAAAATAAAAGGTTTGGGACCCCTGGTGGTTCACTCTTGGAGCCAGCAGAGATTCAGGCTGGGTGTGGTCTCTACCCTGGACTGGGCCCCCTGCCAGATCCCCTGGAGGCCACCCTCCCCAGTGGGAGGCTGCCCACCCCCGGGACCCCTGAGTCAAGAAGCTGTGCATTCTCCAAGCCTAGTTCAACTTGGGGACAGGGGTAGTAGGAAGGGGGAGGCTTCCTAGATGCCCGGAATGAGGCTGCTTTCCAAAGCCAATGTGAAAGGCGACTGGACTAAGAGGTGGCTTTGAGTGGGAGAGGGCTGCAAATCCTTATGGGAAGAGAAATCTATTCCAGGTGGCGTTAGTGTCCGTCCACTCCTCTTAGCCACCCACTGCACTATCTCAGGCCTAAGTTCCCAGTTGCTAACTCCTGCAGCCCACCTGGCCTTTCTTTCTATCAAACAGTGGTGGTGGTGGGATGTCCTTCATCCCAGCCTACAACTCATGCCCAAAGCCTGATTGCATAGTGGACTGTTCCCTGAGGTGGAAGACATCCATCGAAAAACCAAAAGAACTCTGGCTCTGAAGATCTCTGCAGGAAATGCCTGGGGTGGGGGTGCAGCAGTTTGACAAAATCGCCACCATAGTTAATGAAGCTTGGATTTGCTTGGTGTCCAGCATGGGAGCAGTGGGCCTGGCCAGCAGGTCTCCAGCTATAGCTATGAGGGGCTTGAGTTTCCCTAAACACCTGGTTCCGGTGCCAGACTATACCCTCATTTGCTCCAGAACTGAACTTGGAAGCTTCTGGAGACCTTCCAAGGGCCTGAGAGTGATGTGGAATTATTTTAAAAGATAAATGTTATATTATATATATATATATTTCCCTGAAGGAACCAAAGCGAATTTTAAAGATGCAATGTAGAGGGAAAAAAAGATGATGAAAATATTTAAAGGCTCTATCTGTTTACAGTGTTCCATGGTTAAACTCGCTCACTGCTAAGAATATTTGAATGTACGCTTCATACAGGGATGGTGTTCAAAAGACTTGTAAATAAAGGAACCATAACCAACTTTGTTTGATTACTTTTTTTTTTCTTGCCATTAGTTGATTTCCTCTGGAGTGTTGGAGGGGGTGGGAAGGGTGTTGGGAATGATCTTTTTAATCTCTGGCAACATTTGGAAAGTGTTAGGGAAATGCTTGGAGGCAGTTCAGCCTTCCAGAGCCTGGAGACCTCATCTGGGAATGCTAGGCACCCTCCCGATGAATCTCCTTTGCCTCTCTGTGTTAAGAAATGCCTGGTGACTCGGTATGTAGTGGCAGTGTTGGTCTTTTCTCTGTTCTTACCTACCATGTGTGTCACAGAATGTATACAGGCAACAGGGCAGAAGGAAAATAAAGACAATGGAAACTTGAGTATCAGGTCCTGGTGTGACATTTCTCTCCCTGCTAGCCTTTTACTGCCAAATGTCAGCTTCCAACAGTCCCCTTTACTAGCAAGTTATCTGGAAGGTCCTAAGTGGTGAGACAATTACTAAGTCAGGAATCAACTATGCTAGAAACCAGGGTAGGAAAGTCAAAGTGTCTGGCCACATCCTTGTGGGAAGTGGAGACCTAGGATTGGGCATCTTAGGGCCTAGACTTCATCCCCGCAGACTTACCTGAGCCCTGGAGAAGGTATGGAGGTGGCCAACTGGTCTGTCCCCAGGCTACCCCTGCTGGTCTTAGGACTTGGAAGCCTGAGGGAAAAATCACTGTAGGGTGCCCGTTGGGTCCCTTCAGCAAGAGGAACCCTGGTCTAGGTACCAAGGCAGGACAGCCTCTCAGGATCCTCTAAGGGTGCTTGCTCTCAGCTGAGGCAGCCTTTTCCCTTTGAGAAAAAAGAATGCTGGTTTCCTCTTTGTTTGCTGCCTTTGAACTTCTGCCTTAAATTTGGACATCACCCATAACCTTGAGGGGAAGGGCTGAAAGGACAGAACCTTTTGTTGCCCACCCCATCCTCTCTGCAGCCACCCAAGGAGCGCCAAAGCAGCAGAGAGGGTCGCATTTGGAGAGAGGCCTCAGACCCCAGACCCTACTCTGTTTGTTTGTGTGTTTGTCTAACTGGCGCGACTGGGGAAATCAAGCTGAAAGAGGAGTGGGACAGACCTGAGATGAATGCCTGTCTAGGTTGATAGACACACTGAGACGAACAAGGGCCTTCCTGGAGGGAAGGGAGGGGGCGGGCTGGGAAGCCGGGTTTTAGGGAAAGACTTCCTTTGGGATGGTTAAAAATTAACCAAAGTCTCTCAAGTTGCTAGAGAGAGTCTAGCCAGGAGCACTGCTCGCGGGCGGGGAGGCGGCGGACTGGCGCGGGTTTGATTTCTGAGCCCTATAAAAGCCCATCCTCTGATGGCTATGACAATGTGGTCGTAAACCCGTCCCGGCCGGCCAATTTGCATATTTGGAATGCGCCGCTATAAACCCGGCTGGGGTTTTGCAGCGATTTCTTAGATGTAAAAAATGAGATCTCAATAGAAGCGGACTGAGTACTGCCTCTCCTTCACTCGCTCTCTCTGCCGGAGCCGGTTTCCCTCTCTCGGCTCGGTGCTGGAGCTCGGGCTGGGCCTAGGCGCTCAGCCGCCACGAGATGGCGCACTTCCGATCAATGTCAAAGCCGCCAGGGAGCCGGGAACCCCAGCGTGATTCTTGGCCTTTGTTCGCTTCTGATACTAAGAGCAGCACGGTACATTATTTCACTTGTCCCTCTACTCTTCGCGTCAAAAAAAGGGGGCTCACTCTCAAGAAGTGGTTGGTGTTGTAGTTTAAAGCAACACGCATTCGCTAGGCCCCGCAGGCGTCGCCGCGTGGAGAAGCCAGCTGCCCCTTTGGCAGTGATTTCGGAAATGTGTCAAGGTAAGAGGCCAAAGTTTAGCCATTTCAGTGTGTCTGGAGCGGGAGTCGGGAGGTGGCTAATGGCTGAACAGGGCTCGGGAACATGGCTGGGTTTGTGGGGTGACACGATAGGCGATAGGCGGGCGTTTGGCTACAACGCCTTCTCCCATTGCTCTCTAGGGTTGGAAAACAGGGGAAGGCCTAAGTGGAAAAGTTGAGGATTTCAGCTCCCCGCGAAAGCATTTAACCCAAGGCGATTTTTTGATTTTGTGAAATATTCAGAATAGAATGAGCTGGGGATGGGAAGCATCCAGGCAAAAGAGGTCCCGCTGTGCTGAAATAGGGTGTTGTGGGAGGGCGAGAAAAAGAAAGAGAAAGACAGAGTAAAGAATCAAAAGGAAAGGAAGGAAGGAAGAGCGAGAGAGAAAAGAAAGTGAAAGAAGGAAGAAAAAGAAAGAAAGAAAGAAAGAAAAGAAAAAGAAAAAGAGGCAGTGTGTGTGTGGGGGGGGCATAGAAGTTTCTACTTTAAACAATGGGGTGGTAATCTGCCGCCGCTGGGGTAGGCTTATTCCCCCAGACGTTCTGGAGGTTGTTGGCTTCCCACTAGGTAGGTCTCCAGGTCGGCCTAGCAGCCAAGGGAAAATCTTTGTTGTGAAAAAGGCCAATTCAGAAAAGACCGCATTTGATTTTTGAGGATACCCAAGGAGAAGTCTCTGTATTGCATATTTTGAATTTGCTGCTATAAACTCCCCTGGAATTTTGCAACAATTTCTTAGATGTGAAAATGAGATCTTTCGGATATTTTGCAAATACGGAAAATTGCTGGAATGGAGGATAAACTCTGAGCACCTCCATAAGAGTTGTCATAAACAGGTTTTAAATATTCATAATACACTTAACATTTTGGTGGCCAGATTCAAATTCCCTCTTTCTCCTATATTTAAATTTTTACTCCAATATTTTTACTGGTTTCTTAAAATAGCTTTTCTTTTCCAAATACACAGTGCGTGGATGAATAAGGAGACTCCCAGAGAAAGTAGTTACCCCTTGTGTGTATCTTTATTTTGCCTATCAAAGTTACAAGTCTTTGTTGGGCTTGGGCTCCCAAACTATGCCAGAACAAGGCAACCACAGGAAGGAGTGAGTGCCCACACGATAAGCTGCTCTCTGCAGTCAGAACTGTCCCTATAATTCCAGAGCCACCTCCAGTTTCAAGGCCAGAGGCAGTTTATTGTGGACAAAAGTAAAAATATTGCAATTCAAGGGGTGTGTGAAAAGGCCCGGGAACACTCCCTGAATTGGGGGAAGGGCAAGGTCAGTGGTTGGATTCAGAAAAAATTTTAAAGTATGCTCTTCAGGGCTAGATTGCACCTGATGGATTCAAAGCTGAAGATGTTGACATTCTTAAAGATGAATGGAAAAGAATGGGGAAAATTCTTGAACTATTCAAAAAGAAAATTCTGTATGTGAAAATTCATAAATCAGAGAAGCCCTGAATTTTTGTTAAAACCAAATATGTGCAAGCAGCATTTATTTTTCTTCTCTGGGGCCATAACCCAACTTCACGACCCGCGGATAATTTGGAGTCCTGAAAGCATTAAGATTGACCTCCAGACACAAATTGTTTACTGACTAGCTCAATCTCAGGATCTACTCATTTTTTTGTTTTGTTTTGTTTTGTTTTCTAAGAATTTAGTTTTTTCGTGAACCGGCAGTTTATTTCTCCTCACTTACAAGGGCCTAGTCGAGAGGCGGAATCTGCTACCTAGTGAACTGCAGTGTAATCCTTGACAAAGGCCTTTCTCCCTGCCTGGCCTTTACTCTGGCTTAGTGGGGCAAGCAGTTTATCCAGGTAGAAGTGGGCAACATTTACTTCCACATAAATGTTGGAGTCTGGCGGCAGCCGCCTACCCTGTGCAAGGCCTGGTCGAGGCAAGCAGTCACCAAGTGTTTTAGGTCAAAGGCATCCTGAGGGAGAGGAGGAAATTCAGCAGCTGGGAGGAATGGTGAAAGGGAAAGAAGGCAAAGGAACGAGATGGAGAGCAGAGTGGCCAGAAGCCGACCCGACCCGTGCTGCAACTGAATTGCTTTCCTTAATCTCTCTGAGGTGGGGAACCTTGGCAAAGCCGAGGCAATTAATAAACGGAATATTTTATTGAGGAAGCAAACACCTCAATGTTACAGTCCAGGGAGTCACGGAGCATTGGGGTTGTTTGGGGATGCTTGGGGCTCCCCCAGCTACTGTGAGAGCCAGCCGATGAGGCACTCTGAGATGTTTAACTTGAGCTTCTACTGTGTTGGTATCCTCTCCTTTGAACTAGCAGCAGCAGGCCAGTCTGCGCCAGAGAGAACCCGCAGTCTCTCTGCAGCCCTTCTCTGCAAGCCCCGCTGGGAGTTGGAAGGCAGTCCTGGGCTTGAGAGGGGCTCCCATATGGACTTAAGCACTTTTTTTAAAAAAGCAAGAAAGCACAAACCCAACATCCTGTTTGGTTTATTATAAGAGGGAAAAAGTCACGCTACAGAAACACATCTGGCTCTCCACAAAGGTCACTGAAGACCCAAGTGCCAATGCCATGGTCTGCGAGGTCCATAGCAGGCCTTCCAGCTCCTCCACTCCGCAGCCATTTGTGGCAGATGCAGTACCAAATTGACTTTTGTAACCTTGCACGCTCCTGGATCCTATCCAGCCTAGAAGCCTATTTGGCTGCCCTACAGGACCCTGACCTGATCTGCCTGAGCTGTCTGCAGCAGGGCACCCAGCTTGACTTACCAGGGAAATTGGCAAGGCCCCTGAGTCCCAGGAGAGTCCTGGAGGACCCAAGGAGAAACCTTTAAGGGGTCTTGTGAACTCCTTGAAAATCATGGATCAAATCGTGGGAATGCAGAGTTATGCATTTTCCTTGCGTTAGATTTTCTGAAAGGGTCCTGACTTCTTAAAAGCTTAAGAAACACAGGTTGAGATCATTGTTTTTCACTTTATTTCTGCAGCCTCTACTATCTCAGATACACTCTCTTAATAGCCACTGACCCATCCCTGTCTTCAGTCAAAGTCTGAGAAGTTGCTTTCTGCATTTAGCTGGGCTCTAGGCCTAAGTTCTAGTCCACTGACCTGCTGGAGTTCATTCTCCCCAAGGAACTCTGGAAGCTCTTGAGACTTACTTCCCATGTGACAGAGCCTTCCCAAGAGGCATGGA